AAAAAAAAAAAGAGGAAACTTTGTGACCTGCAGGACCATAATCAGTGAAATTATGCAAAACCTAAGTGGGTCAGAGGATTTGTTGATTGCCAGCAATGTCATGTGTCCTTCATGGACGAATCAAAGTATTCAGATAGGCTCCGCTGATTTATCGTAAATCAAATTACTCAGGAGGTCTCAGTTTTTACAGGGATCCCTTAATATTCTTGAAACACTTAACCATACACTTACTACTATACTGTTCACACTCTTAAATGCCTTTGGAGCTATTTTTATTTCAAAACTTTTCAACCTGAATACTTCAGACAAATGAGACTCATGTGACAAAAGCACAGACAATATGCTTTTATTACTGATAGCGTGGCTATGGGAAGAACATTAGATCTGCTAACCTAATTAAATTTAGAAGAAGAAGAATAGAGATAGCAGTGCTGTACCGCAGGTCAATGGACCATAAAGGAATTGGTAAACTCAGAGAAGTCTGACAAATAGCAAGCAATTCAAAACAATCCATGCAGCTGTGACCAAATGCTTCATATGGGAACAAATAGCCGAGCTGAAGCAAATAGCATTAGTAAAATCTGCAAAATGGAGAGTCCAGTGAGAGACATATTTATAACTCCAATCACAGAATTTGAGTGAAATCTTAAGCACATTATTAGAGAGCTTAAATGAGAAACTGTGCTTTATTAACCAAGTGAGAAATCGGTCTCCTGGTGCTCAGTAAATCCCACAAATGCTAATATCAACACGTTCTGCACAAATTGTGCTGCAATTTGATTCAAAGCAACATGAAAATAACGGATTCAAATGTAAGCTGTGTGGTGTGATCAGTGTCATTATCTCTTTGTCCTCAGTACTTTTCCACACGACCTGTGAAATCTGACTGCGTGCAGTATGGCGTGCCAACCCTAACAGACTTTTTACACGTGTTGATCAAAATCCCCAATCGTGGTTATTTTATGCTGTCTCTAAAGAGGGCACAGACGATACTTCTGAAGACAGGCAAAATAATCATCTAATTTCTTCTGACTTGACGACAAGGATGAGTATGCAGATTATCAAACAGTGCCTGAAAGAATGGATCTGTCTACAAGCGAGTCACCGTGAGCAAAACTCTCGATTTTCCTACTTTTTCTACACACCATGCGAGAATATGTATTGCGCTATTTTCTCCACGCGATGACGCCCCATCCTAAATTCCTGCTGTGGGATCAGGGGCCTCCTCCCACCCACAGCAGAACCTGTTGGGTGACATCAGCCCGAGAGGAAAGGAGGAAGAAGAGCGGAGCCGCGTCAAAGTCCGCAAAGAAACCAGGAAGTTCATCTTCAAAATAAAAACGTTAATCGAAGAAAACGAGTCAATGGCTGAATTGTTGAGCTCTTAATTTAGTGCCTAACTAACCAATCAATCACTGTCTTCTTTTTTAAATTCATGCTTATAATTTAAATGCTGAAGTCTTTCATAGGGAGCTAAAAAAAATAAAGATAGAAGTGGTTAATGAATGTAATCCACGTTGATCTGCGTTTAACAGAGTGGATATGCAGAGTGGTTTCACTGGCTCTTTTTCATCATTTGAAAGGTTGTGTGCGTTGCTTTCGTGTATTGTTTGACAAAAAGGGGCACCGTGGACCGCTTTCTGCGACTAAGATTAAAGGACGTGCAGACACGGAGATACTAAGGACCCTGAAAAGGATCCTGACCCAGATGAATTATATTGCATTATAAAGAGAGGTGATTTTTAATAGTTTACCCCCACTGAACAATGGCAACACACTACACTACATTTTCAGCCCAAAGAAAACATTATCATCTTCATTAAGCCTGGGTTTGTTGCTTGATTTTTCTGTCTTCAGTCATAGTTATTATCGTATTATTATTATTATTATTTTTTAAATCAAGTACTATTACTACTAGTACTAATATGATGCCCATAAAAACAGCAATGAAAATAAATATCACAACTACACAGAAACGTACAAAAACAACAATCAGGCAAATATTTACAATAGTAAATTTCTGCATTACTCGCACAATACCGATTGATGTTTTAAATATCATACTTATTGCCAGTATGCAGTAATTATGAACCGACTTATTTTTAAAGGAAATAACAAAAATACTTAGGCCCTTTTCAATAAAAGCTCCGCACGCGGTCTGCACAGCTGCGGGCGGAGACTAAATAATTCATTAAAAAAAGGCTTCACAGTATTATCGACTGACTGCTTTCTGTTGCTCAGGTGAACAAAAACACTTTTTGTGATCCCCCCCCCCTTTTTTGTCAGTTTATCTGTTCATTTAACCATTCAAACGAACTGAAATGTTCGATTTAAATATGATATGATGCAGATGAAATGTTTCCCCACTAGGAAATGCAAATACACCGCTGAATGCAAATCAAAGACTCGGTAGTCCACTCCTGAGATCTAACTCAGAAAAGGTTGCATGAGCAGTTATGTTAGATTGGATTTTCTGCATGCTGCAGGTAGAAGTTTTTATTTTGGTTTTTAAGGTATGTGTTAGGATATAGCAAACAACCTCTTACACACGCACTCTAATTAAGAGAGAGAGAGAAAGAGAGAGGGAGAGAAAGGGCTTTTATTTTGAAGGGACAGACAGGAAGCAGTCCATCTCAATGTAGCTAGCCTGTCCGCGTGCACCTCTGTCAGTGGAGCAACCCAGTGGTGTCGACAGGCAGGGAAAGCCCTCACTGACTGTAAGTACAGTGTCTCCGGTGAAGACCGCCGCTCCGCACTCTTCCGCCGCGACATTGAGGGCTGCGCGTCTGAACGGACTGAAAACCACCCCGAGACAACAACGCAAAGCTGTTGCATTGTATCTTTTCGTTTTTAGGGGGACATGGCTGATGTAAGTTTGAACGAGTCGTCCTCCGCGGACGTCGCAAATAGGTTTGCTCGGAAAGGTGCCCTGAGGCAAAAGAACGTCCACGAGGTCAAGAACCATAAATTCATAGCCAGGTTCTTCAAGCAGCCGACTTTCTGCAGCCACTGCACGGACTTCATCTGGTAAGCTCTTCCGTTACCCACCTCCACCCCCTGCCTGACTGCAGCCTGTTGCATATTGGATAACTTCAGTCGAGAGCCTACACTCTGCTCGATGATGTAACACAACTACAGGCTAACTTTTCCCTTCATAATCCTGCGATCCATGCACTTCCTAAAGACTTTCCTACTAGTGGAGAGTCAGCGCAGGAGCACTAACGTCGTCATAACCCTTCCTAGCAGCTCCAAGCTTCTCCAAGGATCCCAGTCTGTTGTATTATTGTCAGACCTCTCGCATTTTCATGTTTGTGTTGTCTACTAATGTTGCATTTTCTGTATTAATCTGTTAACCTTCCAACTGGGAGAGTTCTTAATAAGAAACGTAGTTAAAGCGTCTTTTTGGTCCCAGTAAACCTCTGTGAGGACAACGTCAAAGCTGCAGCACATTCCTGCAAGGCAGAAACAACTTCAATGAAAACTGTGCCAAAAGCTTCCCATTGCTGCTGTACCAGCCAAGACTGGACCTGTTTGAAGTGCTCTGATGAGTAACAGGTTCCCCCTTCCTGGCACCTACTGTAGTTGGCCTGTTCGAATTTTCAATTTTAAGCTGCTAGGGATTTTTTTTTAACTTGAAGCAGCTCAAACGCTGGTTCTGAGATCTGCAATTAATTGCCAGAGTGAGCCAGTATGGAAAAGCACTTCATCTACTCTACGTAGACTGATTTATGCATGTCCTGTTTTGCTGAAACACACTGGTGCAGAGGCACAGATTATTATCTCTCTGTTGCATTTGTGTTTTCTTAATTTGTGGCTCATGAGGAGAAATGCATTTGGATAACATAACGAAACACAAGTTTCCAAATGCTGTAAATAGTCTGATTCCATCTATATACACTAGGCGGTTCCAGTCTGTGCAGCAGGTCTTTAATTGCATTATGTTACTGTCCTAAAAAGTGTTCGTTTTCACATTTTATGCCGTATCTTAAATGTAAGAGGAGGAAACTTGCAGACAGCTTTGCAGAGTTAAACTGCTCCTCTCTTGTTAGTGGGTGTGTCTTCCAAGAGCCTTTTTTCTGTGTAAAGCTAGTATAGCACTGACAGCTTTACACAATGACCTATGTTCAACCAAGCGCCACTCCTTAGTGCAAAGCACAAGCTCCACATAACCATAATTATTAAGGCAAACAGCTTGTTGCTTTTCTTTATGAGGTCAAAGCTTCCCTGTGAGGGCTTTGATTGATGAGGATTTCTGTAATGACATTGTGATTAACCACAGAACATGTCAGCAGAAGAACAAACTCAGTATGGGCACAAAGGATCTGCACACCTAACCATTACACCGGCGTGATTCTAGAGGACTGTGATTCACTCCAATTCAGCCACAGGAGCCTCAGTTCAGTTGCAGTTGGCCTTTCAGTTTGTTTGAAAGGTGCTGGATTGGGTTGAGGTCAGGGCTCCTCAAGGTCACTCAAGCTTATCCACACCATAGACAGAGAAATACTTCTTAATAGGCAATGAATGCTTTCAGGAAAACATGAAATCCCAAGAACTGTGCAATGCTCTTCTTTAATAGTCATGGAAAACATGAGACACGTGGGTCCCTGGATTGAATGAATGCGTGTACAGTACGTGTGCATGCATGTGCAGGTGAATGAATGGATTTACTGTGCACACGTGTTTGAAAGAGTGTGAGCACGAGCAACTGTTCAATCCGTCCTTCTTTCTTTTCACAGGGGGTTTGGAAAACAAGGATTCCAGTGCCAAGGTAAAAAGCAAAACTTATTCATGTGTGAGGCCTTCAATTAAAATGTGTGTGTAAGAGAGACATGTACATGTTAAACTTTGATTTAGGACTATTTTGTCATTCTGTAGAAGAAAAAATGGTGTTCTTTGTCAAGTCTGCATTTAATTTATTCTGATGCTGTTTCTCGAATCATCACATTTAGGGTTGATACATTTTTGTCACTTTTCCATGCATTTTGCTGCACTAGCTCCATCTCATACGTGCAACTACAAGAGAAAATGACTGAATGCCTGTGAATGCAATTACTGCTTATTCTGCTGTTTTATATATTTGGAAGCTTTAGATAAAAGCAGTGTTTTGCTGTTTGATAGCCATGCTTTTGATACCTGTGGCACCAGGTGTATCCGTCGAGTTTAAAGTAATCAAAGTAATGACTGAAGTTTGGTGTGACATTTAAAGACTTATTATTATCAAGTTAAATGAAACTTCATCCTATAAAAACAGGCTTATCAGAAGTAGGGCTGCCACAAACGATTATTTTGATAGTCGACTAGTCACCGATTATTTTTGCGATTAGTCGACTAATCAGATCATCATCCACTGGACGTAAAACGTACAGCTTACTGCACCAGCAGCATCTGCTCTTAGATAACTATCATTAGCTTACAGCTTTAAGTGTTTCAGGTCTGTGCTAACTAAAAATAAAGACAAGAT